CCCGCGGGCGGAACCATGGGTGGGGGCCTACCCGTGGGCCCACCCGCGGGGAACATGATGGTGTTTTTTGGGGATTTGTTCCCCGTGATTCTTTTGACTCGGTATTTGGTCTTTTGACTTCCCGATGTTCTTTTGTGGAACTATTTCAGTGTCTTCTTGATGTTTCGTATGTCTAGAACTATATGGTAGGAATCTATGTAGGCTTTGGTGTCTTGAATCATGTTAAGTGTTCAACATTGTGATTCGTTGAACCGTGATGAGTCTTGTGTATTCTTCGGAACTACGTTTGATTTACCCGTTTGATAAGCATGCTAGTTCGGTGTTTAAATGCTAGCGTGTGTGTGTTTGTACCTTCTTATTGGTTGATGATAACTTGTGTTATTCATCGTTGTTGTTGGACTGTGATCCATTCCTTGATTGAGTATGGTTTCATATCTTCGTTGTGAACAACCGTGAGGACTACTATTCTCTATTGTCTTGTGTGTGTATGACTTTGAACTCTCATGAAGTATTATGTGTTCACCCATTCCCTTGAATTGAATGCCTAGTTGACATGGTTATGGTTGGTAGTTTTATTTCATTGCATAAGTTTGCTTGGGGACAAGCAAAACCTTGAGTATGGGGGAGTTTGATAAACTTAATTTCTAGGCATTATTTAGAGTAATTTTAGTTAGTGAGTTGCATAAATAAATTAAGTTTTATGGTCGATTTTATTATAAATATTATATTTAGTTATATGTTACTAGTTTAGATTGGTTTTAATAAATATTAGGCTAATGTTGTATTTTTATTAATATAAGTAGGAGTTTTATTTTAGTTATAGTATTAGAATTATTTGGTAGTTTTATATCTTTAATTTTAAATAAGTATTTTAATACTTAAGTTTAATTAAGTTAATTATGTCATTAGGATATAATTGTTTTGCTTTAAATTAAATTAGGTTTCTTTGTTTTCTTTATTTGATTGGCGCAGCAATATAAGGAAAAGAAAAGGCGTCGCTTTTGGTTTTTAATTGGGGCGGACGTCAGAACAGGGAAAAGGGATACGAAACAGAGAAAAAAAAAAAAGAGCTTGGGAGCGGTAGCGCATCAGCGAGGAGAAACTGCAGCAGCAGCGAAGAGATTCTACAGCTTCGTCGCAATGGGATTTTGAGCCTCAATCGCAACTATTTCCTTAGGCTTGATTACTTTTCTTCGTATCATTCTCCTATTCTGTCAGGTATCTATTTAAATTTCTAGAATAATATTTCGTGAATAGCTATACGTTGAATTATGATTTTTTGCTAGAACTTTAATTAGGGATTTGGATTAGCCTAGATTAAATTAATTGACTATTTTTCAAGTGTTGATTCTTCCAATTTCAGTTAAATATTTGAACTTGATTATATTTATTTTATGTATTTTAATCGTGAATTGTGTGACTGGTCATTGCATAATTCAAATATTAGGGTTCATAAGAAGAACTGACAGGTGAATTATGAACCTAGAACTCGTAAGATAAACATAATTGACCTAAACTAGACATAGCTTTAGGTATTTATAGTGATATTTGATTGTTTCTTAATGGGTTTAATTAATGTTGGTGAGATATCGACGGATGATCACAGTTAATTGGATACAACCTAGTAGCTCGACGGAGTATTAGGATATATTTGAAACAATCATCACTATAGTCATAAAACTTAACACTAGAGTTAGTTAATTATCTAATAGGTGAACCCAAATCCCTAGTCTTCTCTCAATTAGAATTTTCTTTGTTTTAAATTCATAAATATTCTTTTTAATTACATTAGTTCTATTTATTTGTATTTTTCCATATCAACAATTTGATTATTTAAGATAACAGTTAATAGTGTTCTTCGTGGGATCGACCCTGGAATACTCCAGGAATTTATACTGTGATTGACTCTGTGCGCGTGCAGATTATAGCAATCAAGTTTTTGGCGTCGTTGCCGGGGAACACTTTATTAAACTATTTTCTTTAAGTTTTTCTTTTCAAATTTACTTTAGTTGTTAGGTTCGTTATTATTTTATTTTTGCTTTTATTTTAGTTTTTGTTTTTCTATTTTTATTTTGTTTGTTTATGAACTTAAGGCGATCAAAAAGGCATAAGAGCTTTGAATTATTCCTTATTGATCTTGAAATTGAATGTACTTGTAGAAAAAACAGGGTACGATGGCGGCTTGAAATGGCTGAAAACAATAGAGTGGGTCAACAGGATGACCCCATACCACCAATAGTTCCACCTCCTCAAAATCAAACAGCTCAACCACATCTTCGAGACATCCAAAAACCGGTAATAGCTGTTAATCCTTCTTGCATTTAATTATCTGATGCAGCTAGAAATTATGAACTGAGGACTTTCCATCTGAATATGCTCCCTACCTTTAACGGTTTGGGAAGTGAAGATGCTTTGGGTTTCATGCGAGAGCTCTATAGTATGGTACAAACTTTACCTTTAAATAATTTATCTGAAGAAGAGCTTAGAATGAAATGTTTTCCATATTGTATGAGGGGTGATGCTAGGCAGTGGTTGTTAAATTTACCAGAGGGTTCTTTAAGAACTTGGGGTGATGTTTACAATGCTTTCATGTTTAAATATTATTCATCTCAAAAGACAATGGACTATAGGAGTAGGATATGCACTTTCACTCAAAGAGAGAGTGAATTATTTCATGAAGCATGGGATCGTTTTAAATTGCTTTTGACACAATGTCCACACCATCAATTCCCATTGTTATTGTTGACACAATTCTTTTATGATGATTTAACTCCTAATTGTCAGTCTCTTGTAGATACTGCTGCAGGTGGATACACAGGTGATAAAAATAGTGATGAATTAGAAGCTATATATGAGAACTTAGCTAGTAATTCTCGACAAAAGGCAGTGAGAGGTTGAAGAGCTGCTGTGCATGAAATTAGCACACAATCTGAGTTGACAACACAAATGGCTGAATTAACTAAACAGATTAACTTGTTGATGACTCGTGATAGTTCGAATAGAGAATTTTGTGCTTTTTGCAATACATATGGGCATAATTCTTCTGTTTGTATGAATGCAGAGTCATCACAACCATCTTATGAGGAAGCGAATTATATGGGATCTAACATGGGTAGGTAACAACCAAGGAGTGATCCATTTTCTCATACCTATAATCCAGGTTTGCGAAACCACCCTAATTTCTCATGGAGAGATCAAGGTAATGCAAGACCAATGGGACCTCTCGGATTCCAGCAACAAGGACCATCAGGATTCCAGCATCACCAATACAGACCTTTCCAGCAGCCACCTGCACCACAACAGTCTCAACTTCCTGCTTAGGAGAAGAAGCCTCAATTAGAGGAGATGTTCATGCAATACATGGCTAGCCAGGACACTATGATGAAGAAAATGGATGCAAAAATTGATAAGGTTGCTCAGTCCAACCAAGCATCCATTCATAATTTAGAGGTGCAAGTAGGTCAGTTGGCTAAATTGGTTGCAGAAAAAGATCGATGTAAGTTTTCTAGTACCACTGAAATAAACCCTAGGGAAGGAGCTATGGCTGTCACCTTGAGAAGTGGTAAGATTTTGAATGAAGTTTTGAAAGAAAAAGAACCCATGAATGAAAAAGAGAGTGATAAAGAAGAGGAGCAAGTGGCTAAAGAGAATTCTAGTGATCAAAACCTCACTTCCTCTACAGTAAAACCTTATGTACCCCCCCCCCCCCCCCCCAATTCCATATCCACAAAGGTTACAAAAGAGAAACCAGGACAATAACTTTAAAAGATTTTTGGAGGTTTTTAAAAAATTGCAGATTAATATTCCTTTTGCATAAGCACTTGCTAATATGCCATCTTATGCCAAGTACATTAAGAAAATTGTGTCTAATAAAAAGAAACTGGAAGAGTTTGCTACTGTGCACTTAAATGATGAGTGTAGTGCTATTTTGCAAAGCAAATTACCTCCTAAGCTAACGGATCCGAGAAGTTTTTTTAGGTATTAGGATATATTTGAAGCAATATATCCCTTTTCCCTGTATCCAATTAATTGGATACAACCTAGTAGCTCGACGGAGTATTAGGATATATTTGAAGCAATCATCACTATAGTCATAAGAATTAACACTAGAGTTAGTTAATTATCTAATAGGTGAACCCAAATCCCTAGTCTTCTCTCAATTGGAATTTTTTTTGCTTTAAATTCATAAATATTCTTTTTAATTACATTAGTTCTATTTATTTGCATTTTTCCATATCAACAATTTGATTATTTAAGATAACAGTTAATAGTATTCTTCGTGGGATCGACCATGGAATACTCCAGGAATTTATACTGTGATTGACTCTGTGCGCTTGCAGATAATAGCAATCACCTGCCAGTCATCTTCCTTAGAACTGGAGCATGTAACTCATCACATTCAGTCATTGGCCAAAATTGTTTTCCATTCATGGGCTGTATTACATGCTCATAGGCCTTCATGTACATCTCCTTACTGTAACATCTGATCTGGCCGACCCCCTTTGTGAAATATTGCACAAATGGAATGAGGACATGGCAAACCAGTCAACTGCCACATTCTACAAGAACAAGTCCCTAACTCTAATGAGCCTGGGTTAGAATTCAAGCATTCTTGTGCATAATCCCTAATCCTTTTGAACTGGTTCTCATATATATGTCAAGCTTCTTCAGAATCCCAGTAATTGCCCTTCTACACATACTGACAGTGACATTGAGGTTCAACTCAGACTTTATATCTTTGCTCAACTCAGAATACCCAATAGTTGGATTTTGCCTAACCTTGTCTTCATATTTCCATTCTAGCCATTTTTGACTAACAATGCCTAAGGTGAATTCACTGTTGCATTTATGATCCAACACCATAGCTTTCAATTGAAAACACTTTGTTCTTTCTTCCCACCCTGCACTCACATGAAATTCACACCCCTTTCCAGCACATTCCACTCTAACATACTTTAAACCATTCTTCTTCCAAAATAAATCCCTCTTGGTATGTATAGATAACTTATCATGGCAAGTTTGAACTGCACATTGTCATCAAAATACATGCCTAATTCAAGAAATGGTGGATCTGATTTAGGGCTGTATTTAGGGTGCTTATCATTATACCTAGATTGAACATCATTCCCATCCTCATTCTCCAAGTCTTCTTCAACAGTTGGTGGATCTTGTGAATCATAGTACATAGAATCTGCCTCATCTACTAAAGGATTTTCACTAGTGGGCACAGATTGTGGTATAGGTTCAGCTTGTACTCCTATTTTCCTTTTCCTCTTATCCCTATTTGTAGTCTCCTCACCTTCACTGCCACAACTTATATGCTCACTACCACTATAGTCACTCCCAACACCATAATCAACATCTACTTCACTCCCATCTTCATCTTCTGCTCCCACTTCCTCACCCAATACTTCATCTTCTGAAGCTCCTGCTCCCCTTCCTCACCCACTAATTCAGCTTCATTCTCATCATCCTCAGGCCCAGGTAAACATAAACCAACCACCTCAAGCTCATTTATGTCATGCTCAACATATATCTCACACTTTTTATTTTCACGAGCAATATGAGCTAAGTGTAGACTACTAGCATCATTATGTAGGAGTTTTAAAGATGTAAATGGCTTAGAGGTCAACTTATAGGTAAGTGAGATTATTTTACCATATCGTTGGGCTGATATATAATTCATTAAGTGGGGATAACGTATAAACATGGTTGCAAGAATCGCGCCTAGGTGCTAGGCGGCCGACCGGTTCGACGATTTAAATTTTTTTTCTCTTTTTTTTTTTTTTTTGCATTATAAAGTGTTAAAAGTTCGGGAAGTCATAACTTTTGACTCGGTTGTCCATTTTGGACAATTTTGTTTTTTTGGAATCACGTATTTTTTCGAGATCTATCCACAGCAAACTGCCAAAGCCCTCTAATTTCTCCAAAAAATACTTCTTTTACTCTTGATTTTAATTTTTTTTATGTATTTAGATATTTTCAACAATATTTTGAACGATTTTACAACCACTTACATAAATAATTTGTAAGAAAAAACTAGAGGAACCTTATGTTTTATTGGTAGATTTTACAATTTTTAATTTAATTTTTTTAAATTTTTTAAAAAATAAAAAAAATTTAAAAATAATAATAATAAATTGGCGCCCCCCCCCCCCCTCTCCTCCGGGCGCCTAACGTTTTTTGCAACCTTGCATATAAGGTCAAGGTCCAAAACCACTACCTCTGTCTCACAATTCAAATATTTTAACCTAGGGGATTTGACAAAATTACCACCATGATGAATTAATAATTCCACACTTTCAACCATCTTGACAAAAAAAAAAAAAAAAACAAAAACAAAAAACAAAAAACAAAAAACAAAAAAAAAACAAATGCAAGGCACATTTAAACATAAAAATAAGAGCTAACTTTATCACTTTATGCACACTTAACAACTGGAGCAGCAAGACAAAAAAAAAATCAAACTGGAGCAGGACCACAGTATATATAGACATTTTCAACTTAAACACAGTATAACATGACCCTACTACATCACAATCAATACAAAATTAAAGTAAAAGCGAAATCAGTTGGGCCACCCAGCATCATATTCAAAGCATATAGGACCACACTATATACAAAAAAATTCAAGTTAAAGACAATATAACAAGACCCCACATCATATTCAAAGCATATATTCACAATGATATTAGAATATTGTATTACATACCTTACTCGTCCACTATCCAGTATTCAAAGCCTTACTCGTCCACTATCCAGTATTCAAAGCCTTATTTCCAAACTTTTGTCTAGTTCGTAGTTCGGATTTGGGATTGTTGCCAGGCTAGAGATTTAGGGTTTCAAATTACAATATAGATTAGGGATTAAGCGACACAAATAGGGATTTGGGTTTGAGATTTTGGATTTGACTTCGCGATTATGGATGTGGGATTGAGAACTAGGGTAGGGTTTCTTCAAACGTCGAACAGATTGAAATTGGGGTTGAAATTAATAGTTCAATTTGGCCATAAATTTGGCCTATATTACATCAAACTGCTGAATGGATGCCACATCTACTCAAATTGCTGCCACATCTACAACACAACACACGTCTACGCCAAATCACCTCCACATCATCAACTTCTTACCGTTTACTTAAAGGCTACCTGTGACACCCCGTAAATATAAATGATAATTGGGATTAACTGAGGAATTAATCCTAGCCTTCCTTGGTAATTCCTTCCAAAAATCCTGAAATTTAATAGACGAGGGACTAGAAATTGACTAGTCACTTAAGTCAAACAAGTGTACCTTATGCTTTACGGTTTGTACCTTTTCCCTCTTGTCTTTCCAACCTTAGTAAGGGTAAAAGTGACCTTTCACCCATGAATTATTGTTCAAGCCATCCCTAGCAAGACATCCCATTCATTTCTCATTCAAGCCTAAGTCCCAAACTCTCCATCATCTTTCTAAAAAGAACCTAGCTTATTCTTCAAGCAAAAAGGAGAACCTTCTAGCCTTGCAAGATCCCACTCCAAGATTCCAACTTTCTTCTTCCCAAGCATAGAAAATGGTAAGGTTCATAGCTTTTTAGTGTTTTTAGCCATCTTTTGGGTGTCTTTATCTAAGATAAAATCTTTCTTGTGTTTTGGCTTGTGTAAGAAGTTGGTGGAGAAGAGGAACTCTAAGAAGAGGCTTATGAGGGTGAAAAGGAGAAGTTGTTAAGCTACAAAGGTAACCCATGCTATACAAAACCCATTTTCTTACATAAATGATGATTATTGGCTTCTATTTGATGTTCTTGGTGTGATTTGTGAGAATTGATGCATGATATTGTGATGATACATGTTTAGAGCTTGTATTTAGGTTTCTTGAATGTCATTGCTTGGCTATTTCTTGGGTTCAAGTCATATCTTTGTTGTGTGTGAGATTTTGGGTGTTTTGGACTTGAACTTGGCTTTGTTGATGAATTTCCCCGAAGGGAAAATTTGTGTACAGGTGGTGTACCCCGCGGGCAGAACGGCGGGCAGTGGCCTACCGGAGTTTTACGACCACCGGAGTCTCACAGTACAACGGTGATTCTTAGATCGAGACGAGTAACATGGGCTATCAGAATTATTTGAGCTTTTTGTTAGGAAGGACATGTGGTTTTATCCAGGCCACGAGACCAGAAAGGAAATGGCTTTCAGCTGAACAAAAGATTTTGGTAATGTTTGTTTTGGATTACTTATTGCCTAACAACAATAAAAGTAGCTTGTTGGGAAAGTTGGAATGCACCTTTGACTTTTGTCTAAAGCACAAAGTGAAGTTCAATTTGCCCTCATTGATGTTGCAACACATTGACTACTGTAGGGACCATAACCGTAAAAGTCTGCTCTACGGTATGGTTTTGAGTTAGATTTTCCTGTGGAAAGGGGTGAAAGTGGATGGCTATGTGCCAAGCCGATTGGCAAAATGGTTTTGGACGTCATGAATCTCCAGAGTTGCAATCTGTTTCAGTTGGAAAATGACGACTACATCACCCTAGAGGAAGTAGCAAAGAAACCCCCTGCCGAGAGGAGTGCCTTGGTTGAGTAGCTTGAGATTCCCGTTGGGAAGTTGAATCAGGTAGTGCAGAGTTTGGGAGGAGATGAAGAAGAAGAAGAGGAAGAAGAGGAGGCTGAGGAAAGTGACCCCGAGAGTGAGGAGAGCTTGAGAATGAAGGAGGTGAGGACAAAGAACGAGCACGAGGCTATGACCCACGAGGAACGTGTGGTGACCCTTCTTCGACAGCAAAATCGGATGATTGAAGAGGGTTTTTCCTTCATGAAGGCTTAGCTGGTCACTGTGAGTCAGAGGTTGGATATGCTGGAAGCTAGCTCTAGCCGGGGTAGAGCCGAGGAAGTTTCGAACGAGGATGCTGAGGATTTGGATGATGGTTCCTCCTAGGCTAGAGTGGAGGTAAGCTCGTTTCTTTCCTTGTTTGTTTTGGTTGCCGGTTCGTTGGTTGTGGCTTGCTTAGTTGTTTGTTTAGTTGGTGCGCCCTTGTTTGCTTTCGTGGTTATCTTGTTGCTTAGTTGTTTGTTTAGTTGCTTTGCCTCGTTTGATCTTAGCCTGTTCGTGGCTTAGGACTAGCGTAGATGGTTGTTGGTTGGCCTTAAGTTGTGCTAGTGGTAGTGTTTCTTGAGAAGTTTTCTCTGTTACCTTGAAACCTTGCATTACTTTTTGATCTTTGGAGCCCTTGTTTTTTTATGCTTTGTAATCTCTTGTCACATCTTTTATAATACCCCGTGTTACGGCCTCTAACCCCGGATTAATTATTTAATTGATTCCGTTAATAATAATTAGAAAGGATTTAATTTGATTAGGATTCCCTTTAATTAATTGATGTGGCCCACCATGGATCATGGACCCTTATCCTTAAACCAAATCCTTAATCCTATAAAAAATAGGATAAGTGGATCCTTACTATTCAGACCCTAGTTGGGACTCCTAAATCTATATATAGGGACTTAGGAAGCATTTAGAAACCCTACCACAATTAATTCTACCACACGAGATATTCCCGGAGAGAAACCTACAGAGGAATCCCCATGCCATCAAAACGTAGGAGAATCCACGGAAAGAAGATCTTAGAGAAAAAACCTTGGTAGCCAAGGATATTGATTAAGGCTAAGAGGTAACCCATGTCTCGACAAAACCTATTTTCCTTGCTATATCTTATTTATTGGCTCCTTTGATATATGATTCTGTGCTTGAGTCTTGATAGGGCTTTGTCTAGGGTTTATATTGTGTTTATATGATAATCTTGGTGTTTATGTGATAATCTTGATGTTTATGTGATAATCTTGATGTTCTTGATAGCATGATTAATTATATGAGCGATCTTGTATTTTGATTATGTCTAGAGCCCTAGGGTTATAACGTGGATTTCGTATTATGATATTCTTGGTATGTTTGGGTGGGATTTTGCATGATCGGGTGTTAAGTCTAGCCTAGGACTTGTGTTTAGGACCTTGCATATAGATTTCTTGATGTTCTTGTGATTCCAGATGTCCCTGGATCGTTATGTGATTTATGTTAAGTCTTGGCATGTTTAGGAATCGTTTAATTCTGTTACA